CACATGCGCAAATGCGTTTTTTCACATTTTACTGCCCCGCGGCCATTTTGAAAAAGCCCACAGAAGGCAAAAGTGGTGGCGGTGACAACATCCGTTAATATTTAGTCTATGATTCAAACCTAAGAACTTGACTCTCAATCTTTCTTGTAAAAAAAACATTTTATTAACCTTTCTATTAAAGGTTTTCTAAAGATAAAAACAGTATATTGAGGTTTGATTCATATACAAGCATATACTTTAACTAGACTCATTCTTTTGGAGCAAAGACATGCGCTATTTTTGAAGGGGAAAAAGTTGCGTACCCCAGCTTTAACGGTTCCTGTTCAGAACAACAAGCTTTTACCAAACAGTGTTACATATATTCTGCCACAGCCCAATTTTTAATCTAGTTTCTTCCTATTACCATAATTATTGAATGAAAATGGGTCTGGATTTGTGTTTATCCATTAGCCGTTCATTATCTCCCACTCTACCACAGCGTGCATATTTCACCCTTTATCAGATGTAATAATCATGATTTATTTAGTGTGGTAAGATAGAGGCATTAGGCCTTGTTCCAATTTTTTAGAAGACCATTACACTTATTATGCTCAACAATACAACACAAAGTCCACGCACATATAATTAGAAAAAAATACATGTCGTATACACTCAAATCTAATCCACTCTATTTCTAGAGCACATTTCATGAACAGTGCTACGCATGAAATCTTTTGTGTTAAACAATTAACAATCAAGATACGTCAAGTTATTAATTGAAAAAAATTTCAAAAGTAGAATCATTAAATAAGAGCAATAAAATACATGGATTGAAACGTTTTATTCAAAATTGATTGCCGTAGAGAAAATCATGCGTCCAGTAGCAGCAGAAACACATACAAAACCAATACATAATTCAAAAAGTAACAGCAGTATTAAAATGTAACAGCTCTTTAGGTCACAACAGCAGACGTAATAACATAATATGTAACGTAATAATAACAACACAAAGGCAATAAAATCATGCATAAAAAAAATTACACGGTTAATCCCCACAGCAGCAGGAGAACGCTCCATTGATTTAATGTAATTTCAAAACATTCTACCGGTCATTATTTCTTGATAACAAACCTCTCAAAACAAAAATGGCCGCTGCCCTTTGGCAACGCACTCTCTGTTTGTATTTCAGATGGGTAGATTACTCCGCAAGTAGTTCTGGCCACTTCGTCGCTATCGGAGCTAGCCACGCTCAATAAACGCAAATACCAATCAATCAACACATTTAAATGTCAATCGGAGAATACATTATACATATACATTCTTAATACACATGCACAGAGGTTTTCAGAAGTATCTGTTAAGGTTTTCGTGCAAAAAATACTGTTTTAATGCGAGAAAAATCGATCGCAAAAAATCCGGAAGTAGATTCTGGGACATTTTAGGAACATTTTCAGAGGATGGAATTATGGATTTAGGTTAAGTTTATGTTTGGGTCACTCACCGCTGATGTTCAGAATTCTTTGTTCAGTTTTCGTGCAGTTTGGAAGTTGCTAGCCTAACTGTTACTCACATAGCCACGGGAAAGCCTTTGGGAACTATTTTATTTGCAGTCATTAAATAAACCTTTCATCGTTCATAAAAGTGGACTGAAGTTTATTTTGTGTGTTCTGTTGGTACAAAGCCGTATAATAAGCGTGAAAATGTATGTTACACAGGTTATTATCGGAAAAAAAGTACCGACAGGGCGAAGCGGCGCGTCGGGGTCTGCTTCCGCCCTGAAGGTACTTATTTTCCGATAATGACCTGCGTAATATACATTATCCCTTACTTAACTAGAAGATAAGATAAACGTTATTGTCCCGGGGAAATTTGCTGTAGGATACAGTGCTACACCGATCTACACGGATGAATATCAATAAAAAGGGCACTCATAGAAGACCTCCACCTTGAGTCACACTTTCATTTCTTGAATTATCGGATCTGATTCAAATGTCTAAATCCTGCTACAATTTGTGTTTCTTTTTGTTTGTTTTTTAAACATCATGGCTCTTCTCAGTCTCAGGCACTATTGAACCTCTCACTACATTTCTGTGTACTCCGTGAATCATACAAAACATCTCTTCCGTACGTTCAAAACAAACTATCTCACTTCCTATTCGCCAAAAGCAAATGACATTATATCACGCACGAATGGCTCATAATGACAATTTTCTACAACATTTCTCTTCTCTGAGTGTAAAGTCTGGACTATACTTCCGACTGATGGCGTGGCTGGAGGTGAAGTGCCAAGAGCTTGTGTCTAATCTCAAATCGTGGCACTAATTAAAAATAACTGAGGCCAAATTAAAAGGTGTATTGATTCATGTGCATACCGCCTTTGTTTGCTGCATCCTTTCTCTGCCGAACCATCCATCTCTGTCCTTATCTCGTTTTTAAAGCTGGATTCATTGTGTTGCGTTCCATTGTCTTTTTTTAGTCGCGTCGGAGCTTAAAGTCTTGAATGTGAATGAGTATTGATATACAGATTGGTGTCCATTACGCCTTTTTGAATCATATTTCTGACTAAGACAATCAGTGTTGTGGAAAATCGATCCTCATGAATTTGAAATATAAAAGCTAATAATAAATTATCCACCCTGCTGCGTGTTCCCCCAGGTAGGAGACTCAAAGTTACAATGGGAGTAATCAGAAACTTGAAAACTATTAAAAGTCCATCTTGGCCTCGCATGTATTATGCATTAGATTCTTTTAGAATTACCAATATGTGAGTGGAGCATGAATCCAATAAAGTCATTATTGCTGCATTCATTTATCTGCTTTGACATGTGTTCAGGTTTACTTACTGGGCTCATGTATTGTTTATAGAACAATGCCTAACGATACAGAAAGTGTATTACATAGGGCAGTACAACAGTTACAATTACAACTGAAAAACAATATCTAAACCCCTTTTAACCAATGTGTACCTAAGCAAAATGAGCATAGCTTATACAAGGTTTATTTTTCCCTTTCATCCCCTTTATTAATTTATTCTGGGTGGCAATCTGAGCTGCCACACAATTGTCAAAGCACCAGTCTCTCCCTGATCCTCCTGCAAGAGGTGGGTCCAGAGGAGGATGGCTGCTCTGTCAACGATGCCACAATCTTAGGCCTTAAGTCTAATTCTTGCAGCTGGGCTTCAGGCAAAGTGTGGATAAGTGTCATGCACAGGGACACAACAACAGCAGACTTCAGTAGAAGGAGTAGGAATCGACCATTAGGTTTGAAGACCATGATTTACCAAACGGGCTCCTGTCACCCAAACTATTAATGCTGCTATTGTGAATGCATCTCGCTAGCCATAGTACCATATTAGCGCCTCGCAAACATCCATCAAAACTCTTTGCACCTTCTTTGTCCCGTATTGGGTGAGAAACTGAGGAAGAAAATAGTTTTAAATGAACTTCTTATGAACAGAAATGCATACAAAGAATGATGGTTCAGAAAGCATTCAGTCTAACATCCTCCGCCTATATCCCCACCGCTGTCAGACTGTACAAGAAGTCACTTGAAGTCACTTGCATTAGGACTGAAAAACCTGCTCTACTATTGACACTGTTTCTTGATTGACACTTTTAATGTACATAATTTATCCTGCATTTAACATGTTTGCACATTTCTTTCTATCCATGCCAGATGTGACATGTACATTTCTCCCGTGTGAGATCAATAAAGTCTATCTTATCTTAACACATTCAAACAGCTATATATATGTTTTGACAGAGATTATACAGAACACCATTCTTGACTTGTTTGAATAACAGAACTAAAGACATGCTATAAGACCTTGAAGTTCTTCACTGTGAGTTATGCATTTCCAACATTATGTCGACATCTTCATTACTGTTGTTCAGATGCAGTTTGTGGAGAATAAGTCTTTTTATTAGTGCACCTGCTTCAAAATGCTGTCAGCCATTGTCTTGTTTGATTATTTCATATGTCAAAGTCAGTGCCAAACACGGGGATACTTAGAATTCCTGCTTTTATCATGTGACTAAAAACGGTTTTTCTTATATTCAAATGTTTTCTGTTTGTTTGTTTTTTTCATCTTGTTTGAGTTGTTCAGTAGTAAAGTGTAACTGTATATACAGTATGTGTATGTAGTTATCTATTCACTAGTTATCTATTCTCAAAGATTCAAATGTTTTTTCAGAAAATCTTAAATATTTGATGAATAATTGAGCAATTTGAAAGAAGGTACTTTGAAACTTGGCTAACCACCACATACTTACTTTCAGGATAAACAGGGATCTTCAACAGTAAATAATTATACCTGGACCAGGTGGAAGTTACAAGGCAGATGGTGGAGAGAGTCTTAGAGGGTTTTAGATCATTATGACACTGTGAAAAAAACCTAAATATGTCATAAAAATCCACAGGTGCCAAATATATACATACATTATATATATTATACGTAAATCTATCGCAGAAAATCGCACAGTACAGTATGTGGTATGATCTAATTGGTTCTTTGAAAGTGTATTCAGGACCTTCAAATGGTGGTTCATGGATTCCTCTGAAATGCAATTATCTGAAGAACCAAATGTGTTTTTATGGCGAATTTAATGTTTTTTGTTAAACGTATAGGGGGATTTTCTAGACTATCGAGACTATTGGTCCTCCCATTTGGTAATCATTCTGGTGATACGTACTCGTCAAATAAGAACAGAGTTTTGTAAACATTTAATTGATTTCACAATGGAGAACTTTACACATTTGGCATGGACTCAGATTGTGCAAAATGACAGAAGTGTGCAACATGTTAAGGTTAAAAATATAGTCTGTGATATATCTATTTTCAATAAAAAAAAGTGGCAATACAGCAGTAGAATACATTTAATTGAATTTACAGCAATCCTATCCCTTAATATGTTAGACTTCACTTGCTATGAGAAGTTTGGGAATGACGCCGCTATATATTTATTTTGTCATAACTCAAAATGTAACGCTTCCCTTCTTTCTCTTTGCATGTCTCTTCTCAGTCCTGGTACTGCTCATCCTGACCCTGAAGCGACACCGCAAAGGCCAGCGCATGACGGAGGACGAGGAGGACATGCGCGACAACGTCATCAAGTACAACGACGAGGGCGGCGGCGAGCAGGACACGCAGGCCTACGACATGAGCGCCCTACGCAACATCTACGACTTCCCCGAGGCCAAGAGCTCCGAGCCAGGGCCCGACATCCGCACCCTGCCCCAGTGGATCCAGACCAACCGGCACAACGGCAACTCCGCGCTGCGATCCGTCCCGGAGGCGAACGCGGGCGTGGTGGAGGCGGTGGCGGCGGATTTCTCGCTGTTCAAGGGTTACATAAAGAAGAAGGTGGAGCAAGCCGACTCAGATCTGTCGGTGCCGCCGTACGACTCCTTCCAGACGTACGCGTTTGAAGGCAACAGTTCGCCGGCACTGTCCCTGAGCTCCATCCACACCCTGTCCACCACGTCGGAGCAGGATTTTTCCTATCTTAGCGACTGGGGGCCGAGGTTCAGGCAGCTGGCGGGTTATTATGCTCCCGGGAATCTCGACGAAGAAGGGTCCTAGCACAGAAACGGAGGATCATGAAAGAGCGCTCTCCCTCTCCTCACTATTCTGGACTTATCAGAGCCAAAGCTGTGTTGGCCACGAAGACGAGGTTTGACTTTTATCTCTTTGCGACGAGTCACAGAGGCAAAATGTGGTAAAAGTGACTTTGGTTTGAAGCTCTGACAGACTTGAGCGCTACCGGAACATCAATGGTAAAGGAAGGACAGATCTATGCTTTCCCAAATGTTTAAAATACTAGTACTCGCCATTTATAATGATTGATTGTACTTTTCTTTATAAATCAAAGTGACAACTTTCTAAAAGCAACATGACTTGAAAAAGGTTGTCAAAGGTCCCCAAATTTTCAAAAATATTAATATTATTGGGGTTTAATCAGTGTATTTCCATGCCAACATCTCATGACTCATTTTGAAGATGCATTTTAATCGCCGGCTTCATCTAATTAACAAAATCCCTATGCATAAAATATGACATACATGATAAATGTTTCTTAATCTACAGTATTTACTCCCAATCTTCTACTGGAAAGACACATTCTAAATTCTAAAGGGTCATCATTCAACTTCTAGATCTAAAGGATTCCAATGGTCCGTGCATTACTTCCTGGGGTCGGAGTATTCCAGAAAGCAGTGTGGATGAAGAGGCCTAAAACCTTTAAACGCCTCAGTATTCTAACGGAAGCCAAGTATTCCGAGGAGGCAAAACATGTATTTATATTGAGGAGATATTTATGTATTTATTTGTCATGTATTTATTTATTTATTACATCTGACTGTTCTTACCGCCTCAGTGAACTCGGGCGCAGTGTGAAAAGGAACAAGCGAGCCGGACGGACTTCTGTGGCATTATTTTACACAAGACTGGCTTCTGGGTCACTGCAAATACTCACCGTCCTCAAAAAAGATTTGTATTTATTTTCTACGGACACTTTTGTAAAGGGACGTAAATATGACAAAGAAGGAACAGTGGGAGGGAGACAGAGACTTTGGAAGCGTCGACTTCACCAATTGATCCATTATGGCGGATGACATACTTTTGACGTACTTTGTTGTGATTTGTGAAAGGCTGTTTTGAGTAGACGAGGGACGGTCACAAAATAAGGGACATCTGGGATTGACAATTTGTTTTTGTTATACTTTTTCACCGCCAATTGTAAGGCAATAAAGGCACAAAATGGCTGCAGTGATTCAGACTGAATGGTGCAGCGGGATTGACCGGCTGCTTATTCCACTGGAAGCCAATCAGACCCCCCCCCTCGTGTTTAATATGTTGGACTGATTTTTTTATATTTGATTATACAGTATTTTGGGTTTCAATTTGATATGACTTCTATGGTAAAAGGAGAGTATATTATTATTATATGGAACGCATTACGGACTGGTCTTCTCCACTTGATAACCACAACCTTCTCAATGTTGAGCCTAAATTGCAAATGTATGGAAAATAAAACAAAATAAATATTTAATTTTTTTGGTCAATCTCGAAATGGTTTGTTTGAGAGATTTCAGTTTTCAATGAATTTTAAAAAATGATTACGCAACTAAAATACACCCCTGTAGCATACTGTATTTCATATGATGCAACATGTTAGAAAAGTCCTTTTGATGATGGGCCATAAACAGTGGATAACAGAATAAGAAATGTCTTGAGAAAAGTTTGATTTTAAAAAATCCGCACAGTTATGTTGCTCCCAATAAGCGTCTTTTATTCACAGACCATGTAGTGGTAACGTTTCGGGCTGAGGTTCTTCATCAGACGTCATCAGACATCCATGTCACTGTTTTAACCTTTTGGGCCTTTTTGAATCCAGCACGCTCGTCCAAACTACATGTGCGGCCTTATTTGAAACCTTGAGAAAAGTTTTATGGTCATTAGAGTGGGACCAACAATAAGACTGAAGCTCAATTGTGTATAGGGAAAAGGGATGATTGACTTTTTTTTTTTTTTTAAATGCTCCTGAATAACCACAGGAATAGGTAAAACCATAGAAAATCTAGCAACTTACTTTTATTTTTGTCAGCTGAACATTGAGTTTCTGTGTCACATTTCTGAACATTCTCATTAGATAGATAGAAAGATAGAAACTTTATTGATCCCGGTAGTAGACATTTGGGTGCCCAGTAGCAGCAGAGACACATCCATCAAAACAAACAAAACAAATACATAATTCTAAAAGTAGCTAACAATAGTATTAAAATGCCATATCACTTTAGGTCTTTAGGTGGTGTATATCTCTGCTGCTGTGTATGGAGCTGCTCATAAGCACTAATCATACCTGCATACCTGCTGATCTCACCATATTTCCGGAGCTAAACTGGGAATACAACATTATACAGCTACATAGTGCTAACATGTTGTGTCCTTAGGCTAGACGCACAACACAACACGGTAGGTAGCACGCTTACTTCACAGCGAAGAGGTTGTGTGTTTGATCCTGCGTGGTTTTGCATGTTTCTACCTGTGTCTGGCTGGGTTTCCTCCGGGCTCTACGGTTCCCTCTGCCATTCATACCGAGCAACAAAGGTAAACGCGCCTTGTGTGTGCTTGAGCCTGGTTTATTCTGGGTCTGGGACATGAGGCTTTCCCAGACATTAAGTTGGTCTAAGAACCCGTATGAATTCTTTGCTTACATATATCAGTACAGTGCGCTTTATTTTTATACGACACATGCTCACTGCAGAGACGTACTTCATGAGTCCAAACGCAACTTAGGATGTGGAATGATTGGGTCCGCTTTCAGAAATATGCTGTGTTATTTATATTGTAAGTAACAGGGAGTCATAAACAAGGAATTTGATTTAGTAAATATCGGTATAAAGCATGGGTGTCAAAGTCAAGGCCCAGGGGCTAGATCAGGGGTTAAAGCAAAAAAAAAAGATTTGACTGAAAATTTTCGCATGGAAATTTATCACATGTAAATCACAGTAATATGCAGGACCAAGTTATATTTGTAATTACAATATATTATTGTATAATAGATTGTATATTGAATACAGCTCAAATGAATTCTTCAAAGATATACAGTGTATTTTGATATAAAATATATGAGGATCAAGCAACGAGTAAACTTTTTGACAGAATATTAGTGAGAGTAGCTTTACTTGAGGCGATATGGAGCGTCAACACTTTGGCTCTGTCCTCGTCAAAATATTGCAAAAGGACGATAAAATTCTGTCCACATTTGTTTGTGGACACGTCAATATTTAAGAAAAAGGTTTCCCTATCAAGTTTGAGTGCACAGTGCACTTCGATCAACTGCAAATGATTTAAATAAATCTACTAGCGGTAGTGATATTCTGAACGTTATTTTCTGCGATAAAGCCACAGACACGGTCTGCTAGAGCAAGCCTAGTGTCAGTTGTTGCTGATGCACCAGGTAAAGATGAAGTGTGGGAAAGTGCACAAACAGCTGCCTTGTGCGTAGTTTTGAGCTGGTGGCGAATCAAAACTTTTTTCTCATTACTCCCCTACATGCAATTTTTTATGGCAAAGTACGCACAAGCACCGGCCACTTTCATCTTTTCGCACCATGACTCGTTGATTGGCTCTTTTACATCACGCTGAGTTTTTCAAGAAGATCGCAAACAAGACAATATCAAAAGCTCACCAAGACATGTTTGTCCCCATTCCCAGTTGCAGCAAAGTCCGTTTTGTAGATTCCGTTAAGTAAAATAGCATTGCGTTTGGTAAACGTTAATTACCTTTCGTCTATTACGCGCCCAGCTTACCAGTCCGCGGATCTGCTGCTGTTATCGGATTAACAGATGCTGTTAACAGATTCACACGTATATGTATTACTATATATTATTTTTATAATCAATCATTTCATTGTGTGTATTATTATCATTATATATATATTTTTTTTTTTCCAGACCAATTTCATTTGACGGAAATCCGTCACCTAGACGGAACTCTTTAATCCCTGGGCTAGATCCGGCCAGCAAAACACTTTTGAGTGGCCCCCGAAATTATTTGTTATTATTATTAACTTGTAGCATTGATGGTAATGGCCCAAGGCAGGTGATATATACATCCTCTATTTTCTCAGCAAAACAACCAAATTTGATGTATTCTAACATTTTAACCCAACATAATTAGAATAAATATAAAACAATGTGATTATTTTTTGGATAAAATATGAACTTAAACACATTGTATTTACAGAAAAATCTACCAGAAATGAATTGTCAAACTCATGTCACATTAAAGTCATGTCAAAATACCTTCATATCGTAAAAGACAATGAGAAAATGAAATCTCTTCTAATGTTTTGGCCCCGACCAGTTCCTATTCATTCATTCGGCCCCTAATCTGAATGAGTTTGACATCCCTGATATAAAGGAATGCATGGAAAATATCAAGACAATTTTATAAATACCATAAACACAATAGAAGTTCAGAAGTATCCAGAGGTATGAATTTCTGCCTGAAATATTTAAAGTTTCAAAATGCTATCTTCTGAATAAAATATTACCACATGTACTACACGTAACATGTCTCACAATCACTCTCCCACAACATTATGCAATTTACAGTATTATAGCATGAGAAGAAGTAATCAATAGAGTCTGCAGGGCATAAGCACAGCACTTCAAACCTGGGTAGAGTAGACATTGGGAATTTCTCAGATGCGCTGGTTAGTTCAGGATTTGTTAAAGCACAACTCCTAACACACTACTAAACAAAGTGAATGGAACTTTTAAAGGCCACAGTTTCCTTGTAAATCGGGTGGAGGAGGAGAGGATGCTCTTGCAGCGAGAGTCAGATGTGCTGTGAGCCGCACCACGGAACTGCCCACCCACATCTGGAGAAGGGTCCACAGCAACCCATCCTAAAGCAACGAAGGAGGGGTCAAATGTGGGGACAATAAAGTGATGTTTTTGTCACGTTTTTTACAGTTTGTTTATACCAGGGATCGGCAACTCAAAAGGTTCAAAGAGCCATATTTGACAAAAAATACTAAAAACATCTGGTCTGGAGCCGCAAAAAAATAACAGCCTTGTATAAAGCTTATATGAAGGTTACACAATGTAGCTACATTAGCCTAATATCTAAATGACAAAGTAAAGGCTAAACACATAATAAGCATTCATGATTATCAAATGTGTGTTTTCACTGTGTCCTGGAGAGAATGACGCACCACGTGATGACTCTGCTTTAACTTTGACTTCCATTTTTTTGCCTTCATGCAACTGTAGAAATACAGTAAATAAATCTGCTTTTTGGCTCAAAGGTCACACACCTGCACTGTCTGTTCATATCGATCACATCACAGGCTGAAGTTTGCCGGAGCTGAATGTCCTTAATGGCCTTTTCTTTCACAGTCTTTGCGGAGGTTTTTGAAGTCTGAAAAAGGTGCTCCGGATTTTGTATGAAAGAATCCTTCACGTAATCACCGTGAACGGTATTTAGTGCTTCATTGTTCCTCGTGTTGCAACAAAACTTCCTATTACATCGCAAACATGAAGCAGTCCTTCCTCATTGACTGAAAGCAAATGTTCAGTGTTGTTCTTAGTCCAGTCTTATTATCGACTCGTTCTCTTTTTATCTTTGGGATCCGTGCGCACACGCCGGTTTGTTTACAACAGCGGCCGTCTGCCGCGGGGCCGCGCCACAGGATATGACTCACTACGTTGACAGAAATGTTGAAATTGAATATTACTTATACACATTTTTACAGCATTGAAATACGTTAGGAATGTTTTTCCTCCTACAGAAACCACATTCAAATTAGGAATAAAATATAGCCCTCACACTCCATTTTCAGACATTTTTGAAAAGGCTCCAGGAGCCACTGGAGGAGCACTAAAGGTTGCCAACCCTGGTTTATACAGTATGTGGAAGCATACTGTAGAGGATCAGGATGTCTGCAGTTTCAACAAAAAAATAAAGTGCAATAGTCTACATTACAAGAGAGTAATAAACATGTCTCAGAGTGAGGGAGGTGGACGCAGACAACACTATTGTTTGTTACAGGGATGAGAATTGGTCAAAAAAGTCTGAAATGCATAATGTCAGCCATTTTTTCTCAACATTTTACTTTTGGGCTCAAACATGAACTTTTAATGCAATGGGAAATTTAGGCACCCGAGCTTTAATTTAGTCGCACTTCGAGAGGAGAGGGAGACGCGGACTGTTTCCTGCAGCGGTGTATTTATTGGGTGCACAAATTACGCAAAGACACGCATGGTCCTGTGCACGTTTATGGTCTTGGGTACATGGTCACGTTGCGGCTACGCGCTCACCGTGTTGTGTTGTGAGCGGCTCGCGGTGAGCGGTTCCTGCGTCCAGCTCAGAGCCGCTGGATGCCGGAACACTGCGGCCGCTGAAGTGGTGGAATCCCGTTCGAGTACATACAGCAGGTGCCCCGCGGACACGCGCGCTCCCCTCGAACATTTCTCAACGGATTTACACTTTTCACAAACATCTTTTTTGTATGAGGCAGACAGACCGGCCCAAATATGGGCATCGGCCCTTCTGGCATTGCCCGGTACGCCCGATGGCCAGTCCAGCCCTGCGCCCATATATGCAATTTTTTATGGCAAAGTACGCACAAGCACCGGCCACTTTCATCTTTTCGCACCATGACTCATTGATTGGCTCTTTTACATCACGCTGAATTTTGCAAGAAGATCGCAAACAAGACAATATCAAAAGCTCACCAAGACATGTTTGTGACCCATTCCCAGTTGCAGCAAAGTCCGTTTTGTACATTCCGTTAAGTAAAATAGCATTGCGTTTGGTAAACGTTAATTACCTTTCCTCTATTACGCGCCCAGCTTACCAGTCCGCGGATCTGCTGCTGTTATCGCTCCGTTCGAGATTCAATTTTCCTCCTCTTCTCCTTTTCAAAAGCTCCGTGCAGTTTCCAGAAACTTTCACCTCCGTGTTACCAATGCTAACTTCATCGCGTCTTCATTTGCGCGTGAGCTCAGCTACGTCCCATTGCCTTGATTCATTTGCGGAGCGCTCATGTGGCCACGGCACGTTCAAGGCCCACTCGTCATTATATTACTTATTATTTCTATATACATATAAATACAATTATATTCAAATTATTATTATACATCGATATATATATATAACAGATTCACACGTATATGTATGACTATATACATTTTATAATTAACAATTTCATTGATTGTGTGTATTATTATTATTATGATATATATATATTTTTTTTTCAGACCAATTTCATTTGACGGAAATCCGTCACCTAGACGGAACTCTTTAATCCCTGGTCTAAACTTATTGAAAGCAATTGGAAAAATGGGAGAGAGAAAAGAACTCCAACATATCCAGTGTTGTGAGATCTGTCTCTCATAAGTGCAGTAGCTCTGTGGGTAATGTGTGTGTGTGTGTGTGGATGGGAGCGCACGGCGGTGAGGAGAGAGCAAGGGGACAGAGCAAGTGTCCAAGGGGACAGAGCAAGTGTCCAAGGGGACAGAGCAAGTGTCCAAGGGGACACAGCAAGTGTCCAAGGGGACAGAGCAAGTGTCCAAGGGGACACAGCAAGTGTCCAAGGGGACACAGCAAGTGTCCAAGGGGACAGAGCAAGTGTCCAAGGGGACAGAGCAAGTGTCCAAGGGGACACAGCAAGTGTCCAAGGGGACAGAGCAAGTGTCCAAGGGGACAGAGCAAGTGTCCAAGGGGACACAGCAAGTGTCCAAGGGGACAGAGCAAGAGAAAAAAGAGCGAGGTGTATGTAAAGATTAACATTACGCGAAAGATAAATGGTAGATGTACGATCAGGAAACAATTATTTAAATTAATACATGAAAAAAATTACACGTTTGTTAATAATCATTGTCATTAACAAACACTTATAACCAGGACTACAGCATATATCAATACATGTTTAATAATGTTGTAAATATATTAATATATATATTATTCATTGTATTTCCAATGGAAAACTGACCCAACACGCGTCGACGGAACAAATAGGATTGTTTCTATTTCGTCCGTCCGCGTCCGTCGCACCCTCCGTTGATGGAATCCGGATGTTGGAGGCAGTGGAGCCACTTCCATTCACCCTCATGGAAATAACGGAGACGGAGATGAAACGGACATGTTTGGACGGATCCGTCGTCCGTATCTCCATGAGGGTGAATGGAAGTGGCTCCACTGCCTCCGCATGCGTCCGTCCAACGCACGTCGGGCGTATTCCATCAACGGAGGGTGCAACGGACGCGGACGGACGAAATAGAAACAATCCTATTTGTTCCGTCGTCGACGAGTGTCTGGTCCGTTTTCCATTGGAAATACAATGGAATAATATATTGATATATGTGCAGCCGGTTTGACCACTAGTCTTTTTTATGGACGTCCGACGGACAGCAGCCAACGCGCGTCAGCGGAGACGCGCCCGGTGGAGTCCAGGCCTCAGTTTAAGCCTAGTGTATACTTGCGCGGCGTGGCTTACGTTAGCGGTTGCGGTGGACCTACGTAAGCACAATTGATGTTATACTGGCGCGTTCCCCTTACGGAGTTTTGAGGAGAATGTTGTAATCCCACAACAAACCACATGAGGGCGATCACACAGGAGCGGTCCCATTTACGCTGCTACTTTGTCCTCTTCAGAACAACAATAACAAACAAAGCTGTTTGAGCTCATTACACGTATTTCTACTGTAGGTTTATGTGATAGTTTTATGGATTCATTATTTTATAAGTCATTTCAACTGTGATGCTGTGAATAAAGACACAGTTCTGTTGGAAACATAGTTATTATTAAATAGTTTTCAGCACAAACAGCAAAACAATAATAGTGGTAAATATCTGAGACAAACATGAACGATTTACGAGTGTATATATGTTAGATATAAGTTATATATATGTTAGATATAAGTTATATATATATGTTAGATATACGTTATATATATATGTTAGATATACGTTATATATATGTTAGATATAAGTTATATATATATGTTAGATATAAGTTATATAGTCCCCAACTGAAATGAAAGCCAACAAAGAGGATCTGTGTGGTTTGCACAACCAAAGCCAGTAATAATACGCCCAGGTGGTGTTGCAAGGATCAAAGAGTTGATGCCCCAATTTCAGGGATTCCCAGTACCCAGCCCACTTTGGATGGACTCACCCGGCTGATCTTGCAGACAACCAAGGTTCCCAGATCAGCTCTTAGTGAGCACCCGGAGATCGCTGCAGCCAAGTCACTATTTTAAGTTCCAGAAGGTCACCTGTGCTGGTCCGTAACAAATCATCTAAAGAAGTAACATTGACTAGAGGCACGTTAGTTGCCCACCCCCAGTTTCCCTGGTTGATGTGTTGCGACACCCACAGTCAATAAAGAGACCCGATCTCAAGACTTCAAAGGAAGTCCACTGAATTGTCTTTTGACTTTGAACTTGACTGTTCCCAAGAAAAGAAACCAAAGACTGTGAAACACAATGTTGGAACGTAGGATGTTTCTCAACTCACGAATTTGGATGTTGGTTTGTAGTAAAACGTACGCAACACACTATCAGAACCACCGAGAAACAAACCTTTCAGGGAAAAGATCCCGTCTCGCCTATCCGCCTGCTCGATCTTGAAGCGCTTCTTCGACAACATTTGTCAGATCTAAAACGTGGCTTAATCAGTGGAGTCCACGTAGCCATTACGCGTCCAACCGATTAGTGGTTGTTCGAAAAGAAAACCGGCCATAAATTCGTATGTGTGTGGGGAATATAGTCTACTAAAACAGGCGTGAACTTCCCTGATTCAGTACACGGTGCTAGTGAAATCGGGAAGTCGCCACTGATTGTTTGAATGGAAGCAAATGGCTTCAGTGTCTTAGATCTCAGAAGTGGCTTTACCAAGTGCCTATGAGTATAGAAACAGACAAAGAGTAAAAAACTGCTTTCATCTGTTCCGCTTGGTTTGTACCACTTTGAAAGATGCACACAAGGGTTTCGGAGTCCTGCAACATTTCAGAGAATCATGGAAAGAATACTGTGGGTGACATGAATCTGTGGGAAGGTTTTGGTTCTTATCTGGATTGACCTCATAAGTGTTCGGCCAAACACTTTGGCAGAGCACGAACAAAAGAACTTTTAAAGTGCTCGACCGCCTTAAAGAAGAGGGACTCAAAGTTGTCGTTGGATATATGCCAGTTTTGACAACCATCCGTGTGTCCTAGTCGGTCACCTTGTATCTCAAGAAGGGTATCTACAGATCAAAGAAGACGGAAGCAGTCAACCACTGGCAAAGACCAACCACTTGTAACTGCTTTACCGATCCTTCTTGGTTCTGCGGCTATTACAGACGTTTTGTTGCAAGGACTATCAAAAGTTTGCATTTCGCTGAATAATCTTCTGTCTGGATACCCACCCCACCGAAGAGATCAAGAGAAATAGCAGGATTCAAACCTATCTCAACGTCAGATCCATGTGGACTGTGGTGGCTGGGACGACAAATGCGAAGCTGGCATTCAATGAGGTTGAAAACACAGACTCACAGAAGCCCCCAGTCTTAGCCTTTGGCCAAACTCGCAGTTACCATATGTGCTTCCCCGTTGACGCATGTCGAGATGGACTTGGGGAGTTTTATTTCAAGACCAAGGTGAGGGACTAAGACCCGTCGCTTTTCACAGTCGAAGTCTATACTCCATAGTCGAACGTCTTATCCTGCTATACAATTTGGGTTCTTGCGTTGAAGTTGAAGTGGGCTGTTGTTGATAAGCTGCATGATTACCGTATGGGCGTCAAGTTTGAGTCTATTGAAAACAAATGTGCCTTTCTCTTTGAGCGGACCGGGTATAAGCCAGAAGTCGGGAGAACAGAAGCAATCAAACGCAATTATGTAGCTTCAAAAACTCAATAATTCCAGCACGGACAAAAATATCCAGATAGGCTTTGCCCATTATTCTCAACCATAAAGGACTATTCAAAGTCCCACAGCCTTACATCACTGCAAATTGTCTAATCGTCCTGTTAGGGAAAAAGTGCGGGAAAATAATACAGAAGAAATTATAATGTAGCTAACCCCAGTGCCCGCCTTCACTTGCGAGATGCTATTACTAATTACTTTGCTATTGTTATGCTAATTCAGCGCGGCACTCGTCTCATTATGTTTCCGTTTCTCATATCGCTGTCCTGGGATGGGCGAGAAGTATAGGGAATTGAAACGTGTCCCAAATCTTGAGAAAGACAGCACACAGATTACAGAAACAGGGCTGTTAGATGGAAACGTACGATTCGTTTTTTGTAGTTTATGAGTCAATAAATAGTTGAATCTTATTGTTTTGTCGTAACGATAGCAAACTGCTGTTGTGTTATTCGATTCATTTTGCTTAATGTATTATTTATTACAAAAGAGCTTCCACGAACAGATAATTATACCTCTTTTAAACCAAAGCACAACAAGTTAATTGAATGCCATGTGTTTCAGACGCTTAATACCACAGTAAAGTATTTGAGCTTAACTTCAAGAAATGTCCTCAAGTTGAGAAAAATATGTTTTTTATCTTTCTATTTAGAAATGTTGTAAAATAAACTTTTGATGTTATAAATAGTTCAATCACAGATTGTTTATAACAAAAGTGCAAAGCTTCTTAACTCGTTGAAATAAATAATTTCAATTTTCAATAAAACATTTTTAGGACAAAACTCTAACCAAGCACCTGCCAGACTGATCTAATGTATGCAGCAGAGACGTGCGGTCAGATGAGGCCCGATCAAAAAGAATAAAATGTACAAAATGGAAACAATAATACTTGGTCACTATATCACATGATTTATGCTATTGTATTATTTCAATGTAACTTTGCTTTATTTTGTTTATTTTTATCTTGAAATTTCAGATTTTCATCATATTATTCTCAATTTTGAGTGAGCCTCTCTTGGGATGCGTAAGAGCCAAGCCCCGGTGATCCAAGATGGCGCCCTATTCAAATGAATGGCTTGTGCTCAGTAGCGCATGGGACTTCACGGAAACCGGGAGATTAGCAGAACTCGCCTGTATTTGGGCATCGTCTGGTCCTCCCGGTTCTGTGCAGTGGATTATCTCCCATGATGCGTTGCGCGTGCACAGAGGGGCTCGGCCGCGCTCTGACCAATCAGAGCTGCTCATCAGAGCAGCGGAAGAGCGGAGCCAGAGCGGGAAGGCAGGGAGCAGAGTTTGTGGCAGTAAAGTGTGGATTTAAAGAAAACCGAAGGATTTAAGAAGAAAAAAAGTTCAGGATGACAAGGGACACTAAAATCCCAACATAATCCGATCTTTGTGAAAGCTGTAGGTTCTCTGTCAGCTGAGGTCGAGCTGTTTTAGTTTACATTGAGTTCTATGAAACTTTTTTCTGGGTAGCCCGTGTGAATTTAGTCTGCAGTACCACGGGCGCCCCCTGTGCCCATGGGTGGGACAGCTGTAAGTTAGTCATACCCTATCCAGTTATTATCATAGATCCATGGTAAGAGTCCATGGCTCACCGTGGGAAAAGCCTGTGCACTGCAATCAAACTGTTTTCTCTGTTTATCGCGGTTTACAAAATTCAAACATATTTCATTTACAATCTACATGTCTACAGTTGAGAGGATGGCTCATAAATTGTGTTTTTGACAACAAATATGGGTCATAATCGCGCTCAACCACAGCTTTATTGTCACCAAGAGGCCAGCCTCAGGGGGGCGCACATGAGCGCAGAATTCGGTTGCATCCAATTTCATCTGAAAGCTCCTTTCTTGAGGGCAGCAACAGGTGTGGCTAACATACATTAAACACATTTTAAGGTAATGTTCCAATGACAATAGGAATGATAAGAAAGAGAAGTGAAGGGTAAGAAGGTTGAGTTTAGAAATTAGATGCACCTGAGACTCGGCTGCTGCGAAGCACAGAGGAGTTTATGGAGGAGACACCTGTTTTGTTTTACTTTTTAAAACTCATTGGACTTATTTCCAAATGGAGGATTACACATCTACGCTCAAACTATTATCTGGACTTAAACATGAAACTGGTCTGAACTGGTCCGTGCAGTTTATGTTTCTGCTGTAGCCAAACAAATAGTGAATAAGCCGCTGTGTAGGTCCTGTTGATGTATATGATATATATGTTCATGTGATTGGGCTGAAGTCAGTGCCTCACCAATCATCAACCTCACCGCACGTCACTGCATATGAGTAAACGCATAAACTTTACTGTTTGTACATGAGATGTCTTTGAATCCTTTTATTCACATAGAAAATAAACTCACTGGACACAAGAAAAGGGAAGAGACAAGAGCAATCGTTATTGATCTCACAAAGGTGACATTTACAACTTAGTGCTATTTCTGACGCTGTTCTTTGGACATTTTTAATATTTTCAAAAATATATACATACAATACAGATATAGTACCGTATCTGAACTGTCTTCAAATAAAAATCTTTGGATTGAAAATGAAAGCAGAGCAGGGGACGTCTATCCCAGCGTCTCCTCTGGCCCGCTGTGCTCTTAATAATGTATGAAGGCTAAAGCTCCTGTCTGCTTCCACTCTTCATTCTCAAATGTCAGAGGTGAACAGAAAGGAGCGGAGAAATTCTGAGCCATATCAATTCCAGCATCTTCAGCTTCACCGTCTGTTCAACAACTCCCATGTTTTCTCCAGATGGTTGTAAACAACACAAACTATTTATCAGATTGCAGCCAAAATAAGGTGTGAACTCTCCTGGTGGTCTGAGATGTGCAGTGCAGGAGGTTATACTTTCAGAGGACGAGAGTCTTATGTCGACAAAGTAATGGATGAAGTAATAAGTAATAATACTAACGACATGACATCATTTTGGAGAAGATCCAGAGCAGTGTCTGGATGTAACATTTGTTTAAGTAAAATTGTCCTTTTGCCCTTCACAAAGAAGTGAGAATCACAAACAGCTGGAGCACAAACAAACAGGCCTCAGCGAGTTCACTTTAGGAAACATGTCTGCGTGCGTCAGATCCACTCCATTTCAGATTGCTCCAAATAAAACAGAAATAATATCTTTGTTTAAAGTAGATTCAGTCCATGAGGAGTTTGTATTGATCAGTTACTGATCACCTCCCCTGTGTAGGGCGATATAAAGGCAGGGACTAGCCTAGGTGCATCTGGAGAAGCACAGAACGGCTACATCAGCGGCGCAGCTGTAGCACGGCTGTAGCGCGGCTGTAGCGCGGCTGTGGCGCGGCCGTTATGTGACAGAATCATTCCCTGAACAAGTGTGCATCTTTGCGCACCTTCTACATGTGACACTTTCACAGTTGAAGAAACAGACCTGGGCTAGAGAAGCCCTCAGAATTTCCCATGTTTTCCCCGTGTCTCCTTCGGAAGTTCTTCTAAAACGCTCAAAAATAAAGCTGTGGCCCCTGATGTTTCCCTCCTCGGTTTCCGGGGCTTGAGACGCCAAATTAAGATCCGCTCCTTCAGATCAAAAGCAACCCCGGGCTGTAAGAAAACACTGTGTTGTATTAGAAATTAAGTTTATTGAGTGAAATGTAGTCACTGCTTGTAGAGTGGCACGTAGACTTGGAAGGCACTCAGAATCAAATTATATTTATTAACAGATGGCATATTGGAATGGTTTGGTGTTTATAACACAGCTGATATGTGAAATGTAGGAGGAAAATTAAGATTTTTATATTACATTTCCCCAGGATCCAGACGTTAGATGACTTTAGATATAATGGTGAAAAGTTCCACTGTTGAGATGAAGTTGTGGAGGAGGAGGGTTGTGGCCAGAGCTGAGCTATGAGATAAAGCGTCGAAATATGTTGAAGACTGCCATCTGCTGTTTGGGTCTGTAATTAGAATGTACTTGTTCTTTTTGCCTTATTAACTCTCCCAAAAGTCCCCTCCCCACTCACGGAGAAATGACTTCGACAAGAAGAAGAAGCTTTAAATATTCAGGAAAAACAAACCATGGAAATCAATTTACTTCACTAGAGTAACTCCCAGATAGAAAAATACACAATACAAAAAAAAAAATTCTTAGATGTCATTGCCGACCCTTACTATCTTCATTTAGAGGACAATTGATTCTGCTACAGGGAAAGAAACACCACTATCACTACAGCTCCTGGTATATTTTATATCTTCGTGCTATTACATGTGACTGATACAAGACAGCTCGAGGCATAAGAACTCTGACTACCTCCCAGTGGGATAAGATATATTCATACAGAACACCTCCCTGTAGAGATATCATCATCAGCCTGGACCACAGTCAATCTGAGTATCAATCCTGGAGATGGACAGCTGATGAAGTGGATCTAGCTCTAACTGGTAATGACCATTAACCCCTGTCTCAGAGAGGCTTAGCTCGCTGGTTAATGGGAAGTAACTGTAGAACTGTACTGTTTGAAGGGCAGAAGATTTCTGAATTTTGTAGTCTGATGACATCAACAGGACTTTTGAAAGTAAAAATCATGTCATTATCAGCCGGTTAAACTACAACAGAGATTAAAGTCAGAAAATTTAAAATATGTAAAAATCTGGTCAAAAGTGGTACTGCAATCACAGTCAATATTCTGTAGTCCTCTCCCACTCTCCCTGACTCAGGTTGCCAGATATGCAGACGAATCCAGCTGGGACCATACTAGATGAACAGGTAAGAGTTTTGTCAACAGCAAATCTATAACCAACACCTTTTTCACAAAGATTTTTTTATTAGGTTTTATTCCTTGTTTGGTCATTAATGATGCCACATGGTACTTTACCAGTGAGATTAGCTCGACACGGTTAGTTCTGGCAACCTTAATCACAGACTTTCTGATTGGTGAAACAGTGGAGGGCGGGACATCGAAATGAAAACAATAACAAGATTTAGAGGCTGTAAAACCTTTTTTTTTAAATTAAAAAATCTCTGAACTACTGTTGTCAGTGCCTTTGGACGTATTAGGGCCCTTTAATGGTGACTTGACATGAAAATCGTACATATTGCTACTTTAAAGTCAAAATACTCTAAACTTTCTAAACTATTCTGGCAGTATGAGAATATGTTATAGATAGAAAGATAGATAGATTCAGTACTGTATTAATCCCACGGAAGAGAAGTGCAGGTATCCAGTAGAAGCAGAAACACATGCTGCTGCTAGACAAAAAAAACAAGATCATTATTTGAAAAAATATATATATTTTTTTAATAACAAATGCAACAGCACTTCAGGTCACAGCAGCAGAGGTGGAGCAGTCACTTGGTTTGGGCCATTTTCTCTGCACTGGTCCAAGGTTTGATAGCATGTCTCAAAAATGTAGCATTCCTCCAGTGGATTTTCACCTGATCCGCTCGGTTCGGACCATGAATTTGCTCTGTTCGAGTCTGGACCAGTGCAAAACCATGAACACTGTACTGCTGCAACAAAAGTATGAAAAATAACAAATGTAAAGCACAAAACAGCAACTGTTTCAGAGACACTTTGGACTTGCTTCTGTTTCCAGTGCATTCAAAAGTCAAGGTGGATAAACTGTCATGCTCAAGGTTATTTATATTATATTAGAAATACTCTACTATATTATTTCATCTATTCCAAAACAACTGAAGTGAATACAACAACAAAGCTCCTTCATGATATCAAAGTGGATAAACTGTCTTGCTCAAGGACACATAAAAAGTATGCCCAAGTGGCCTCTCAAACAAAAAGGTTTGTGGGAGAAAAATCTACCTCTGACTTGGAGCTTCTGTGACGGCATCAACAGAACAACTGTCAACCCAATGAAAGCGTTTGGAATCTGGTAATCACGAGCTCTTTGACTCCAGGGCTGGTCTCAGAACAGCTCACCAGATGCATGCTGGGAAAGCAGCAGCGTGTAATGTTTGGAAGGTGAGGAGTGCAGGCTTAGGGAGACGTCCGTCTTGATTTGAGGCGACAGAAGTGCTGCTGTGGCAGTCTGAAGCGTGGCAACAGGAGACAGCGTCAGATCAATTGTCCCTCACACACTGCTGATACAGGAGTCATATGCGCTGATGTACTGTACGTATACACACTTTTTAAACATACTACTTTTGCAACTTTTGAAATGAGTCTTGTAATGAAAATGAGCCTCATTATTTAATATTTGGATGTTATTTCCTGGAAGAGTTTTTTTTTTTTTTTTTAAATGTAGATTGGACCAAAGCTGACATGACTGTGGACTAATGTGGGATTTTGGTTGACATTTTTTTGACTCTAACGTTTTGTTCAATGTTTAGATTTTTTTCTTAACATGAGGCCTACATTAACCTCAATATAGTTCATATTATAGTTTATCATTTTGCGGTGCATAAAAAGTGGTCTTGTGGACCACATCCCTTCGTGTATTAGGTTTTACAGCCCTGGTGTGGGTCTTGTTTTTCTTTTCGGACACAAAGGGAACTTCACACGCTCTGTTGGTCTGATCGAACCTTGCAGTGCAAGATGAATCCTCGCAATGTTTGAAAAAACAAACACAAAAAGAATCTGAATTTCCACCAAATTTGGATTTCATGTAAGTCTGCCTTGAGCCAAGTCGGGTCTATCCTCACGTCCTGAGCATAGTCGTAAGAAATAGATCTAGATCTTTAGCATCCGATTTTTCTAAAGAACTTATAATTTTTTTGAAAAAAACAAACAAAATGTTGACCTGATATTGTCCGTTGTGTTGCCCCACAGATTGTTTCAAATGTTGTATAATCCATACATTTTACAACATAAAAGTTATCCACAAACGTAATGGCTCGGTTTGAACACTGTTTGGTTTTAAGGTCTCCTCTCTGCTCTGTTCACGTCAGGAGCATTATTAATCAGCTGAAAGAGCCGTGAGGAGAGTTCCACTGAAGGATGGAAGTAGCTGAGAGCCTTTTCATTCCCAACGGATCCAATATCATTTCAAACTTTTGATTATAATTATTGATTCAAATGTGGCTCTGTAAAAGGGCAAGGTTAAATCTATTAACGGTCACTGACTTTTGAATGTGATTACATTTTAATCTACCTGCAGGACGGTTATCCAGACCGAATCTAAAATGATCCTTTGATTTACAGATGCTATTAAAGGATTAATTCTGATAAAAATGTGGCGTTGCATTTGGGAAAACTAACAGCAAACATGTTTTAATCTTATGATAATGTCACCTTCCTTTCTCGAGTGTTAATTCAACCCATCAGCTTATTTCAAACCCATCATTTATTTGAGCCTGAATTAAATAGACCAAAAAGTAAGAATTAAAAACTTGTGGTGCAGATACATGACTTTTCACTGGTTTTAAGACAAACCCATGTTTTCCCACAACGTTCTGTGCTCTGGAGAGGACTGAGCTGTGAGCCGCCTGTTCTGGAGGTTTATGAATCCGGACTTTTATACCGAGCTCTTACAATAATCAATGACTCCTCTGGTCTCTGAAAATGCCATGTTCCAGCTTCTTCCCTCTGGCAGAAGATATTGCTCGCTGAAATGCAGGACATCTCGTTTTGCTGACAGCTTTTTTCCACAAACTGTTATGAGTTTTAACACGCACTTTAATAATCTTGTACTTATGGAAATTCTTTTAGTCTGATCAGTTTCACAGCGACAGTTATGTCCTGTTTTGTTTGTTTATTTATGAACTTTTAACATTGTTTAATTAATTTACTTGTTTATTTTCTTGTGCACACTGGGGACTATTGTGGATCTATTCCAATGTGGTTTTACTGCAAATGGCAAACTGACATTTCTCCACTGTGGGATGAGTAGAGGAACAACCTCTTCTGCTTCTTCTTCTCCTTATTTTTCTTCTCCTCCTGCTTCTTCTTCTGCTTCTTCTTCTGCTTCTCCTTTTTCTCCTTCTTCTCCTCCTTCTTCTGTATCTTCTTCTCCTTCTTCTGCTTCTTCTGTATCTTCTTCTCCTTCTTCTTCTGCTCCTTCATCTTCTGCTTCTTCTTCTTCCTCTTCTGCTTCTTCTTCTTCTCCTTCTTCAGCTTTTTCTTCTTCTGCTTCTTCTTTTTCTTCTTCTCCTCCGTCTGCTTCTTCTCCTTCTTCTTCTCCTCCTCCTTCTTCTGCTTCTGCTTCTCCTTCTTTTTCTTCTTCTTCTTCTTCTTATTCTCCTGCTTCTTCTCCTTCTTCTTCTCCTTCTTCTGCTGCTTCTTCTTCTGCTTCTCCTTCTCCTTTTTATTTTTAGGCCCGAGCCCCAACCGGGGTAAGGGCCTATTGCTTTTCCAACGAGTAATGCCTGGGCGAACATGTTCCTCAAGTCAAGACATGAAAAAAAAGTTACTATGGCTCCGCCCCCTGACAAACAGGGAGCTCATTAATTTCAATGGAAAATGGAAAAATGAAAATTGATATTTTTCACACATGTCGGTTGGAAATTATCTCCTCCTCGGCTGTTTCATCAATTTGTCTCAAAATCGCTCCACATGGTCTAAACACATGTGCCATCAATTATTGAATATATAATTTGGATCAGTTAAACGTTGTCCGAGCAGCGGAGCGGCAAAATGTGACATTTTTTTTCAGTTTTTGACAAAAGTAAATTTGCTCCCGTTTGCACAAAAAAAGTCAGCTTTGCACAAAATTTGTATCCATTGTTCAGCTCCAGGGTCTAGGTGATTTGAAAGTTGAAATATTGAAATTGGCTCATTAGCGCCCCCTACAGACAATGTTAAAGTTTTACATGGGCTTTTTGAAATTTATTTTTTTCAAAATGTTTGAAATTTTGCACATAATTCTGCTTTGTCATCTGGATTCAAAAAGTCAATGACAACATATGATTATTTTTTACCCTGTTGCCGTGGCGACGACCAACACTCCCCTCTCTGTGTCTATGGGAAAATCGTTAAATCTCTGAAAAGTACACCTCGCTCAAACATCAAACCAGCCGTGGCCGTTTCACTAATTTGGCTGAAAATCATTCCACATCATCTCAACACATGGACCATCAATAGTTGCATATATAATTTTAATTAGTCAAACGGTCTCCGCATGACAGACTCCCAAAGTGTGGTTATTTTCATAGAGAGGTGTGAAGTTCCCATGTTATCCAATGGAGACTGTATGGACACACTCACAGATTGTATATTTAAACAGGAGCACATTTACAAACTCTGATTAGCACTAAACTTGACTCTGTTGTTCAACTACTGGGCCTTGGTCACATGACATTGTGAACAATGACATTGGTCCATTATCGCCCCCTACAGGCTGAGTAAAGGTTTACATGGGGATACAGGTATTTAGGTTTTATGTTGTTTGATCTCATATTTGACCCACATAACAAACATAAAAAATCACCAAACTTTGCCACAAGTTTTTTTCAGGCATAAAGTGTATTATTTTGGTTTTCTTTGGTATAACACTAAAAACATTAAATTGTAGGGGGCGCTGTTGTACAACATCAAATGCCACCATTTGCACATACAAAGTCCGATTTGCATAACATTTTAATTGATTGTTCAACTCTCGGGTTTGGGTAAACTGAAAGTGTAAAAGACAAAATTGCAGCAATAGTGCCCCCTACAGACTGATTCAAGTGTTACATGGAGAGACTGGGGTTTACCTTTTCAATAGAGACTCAGCGCCACCTCCTTTGCGTTGTGCGGCGAGGGCCATTAGATGCCGCTTGCGGCTTTAATTCTTCTTCTTCTTCTTCGCCTTCTTCTTCTTCTTCTCCTTTTCCTTCTTCTGCTTCTCCTTCTTCTTCACCTTCTTTTTATGTTTCTTCTTCTCATTCTTCTTCCCCTTCTCCTTCTTCTGCTTCTCCTCCTCCTTCTTCTTCTTCTCCTTCTGCTTCTCTATCTTCTTCTTCTCCTCTCTCTTCTCCTTCTGCTTCCTCCCCACCTCCTTCTGCTTCTTCTCCTTCTCCGTCTTCTTCTCCTGCTTCTTCTCCTGCTTCTTCTTCTGCTTCTTCTGCTTCTGCTTCTTCTCCTTCGCCTGGAATCTGTAAATAGTGCAAGATACTATTAAACTACGTGATGGAATTTGATACTTTCGTTCGGCGATCTATCTTAATTATCCTTAAGCTTCACCTTAAAGACAAATCGTGCTAAACTGTCTCTCTTTTTTCACAGACTTCACTTTCTGCTGAGTTTGCGTCCCGAGGCTACTTATTCACCCAATGGATTTATTTTCTGGTTGCCTGGTGAAGGTAATTTTTCCTGCCTCTAAACTAAATAACTAATGGTGTTGGGCTATTAGGCAGCGTATGATTGATATCTTTAGCTCAATGCTTTTTAATTTTTTTTTCTATTTCTTGCCCCAATGTTTAATCAATTGTCATTATCCAAGAACGAGAGAAGAAAAGCAGGGATACTTACTGCACACACAGCACTCCCTCAAAGCGTTGTCAATCACCCAGTCTAATGCCCTTCTCGCTGACTTTAATGGATTTTCTGCATATTCAGTCACGTGTGCGGCCATTTCTGAATCACGCTTTCTGATAGAGATGGAAGAAGATTAAAGGTCTCGGGTTTAAGTATCCAGGGCAGTGTTCTTTGCTTTGAAAGTCTAATTGTACTTCTAAAAGAATGTTTAATTTATGTCTCTATAGTTTAATGAATATTGCACAATACGAGTAACTCCAAACTTGAACGGTCATGTCACGCTGAACTTGAAGTGGACGCACCGTATTGTGCAAAATTGGCTTTGAAGAACGATTTAACTGTTTGGAGAATGGTTCATGTAATGGTCCTTATTTTCTCGAAAAAAGGAGAAAAATGGGTAATATTTGAATCTGCTTTGGTGAAGCTGAGGTGCTGTATTTCTTTTTTCTGATGGCCTCTCATTCAGACTTATTTTAAATAGGGAATAATCTCTGCATTGACAAAGATCAAACTTCAAAATCTGTTTAGAGATGTATATAAGATTTACACTGGAAAAAATCCCTTGAAAAAAAAAAATCAGAAAAAATATGTGATTATAGTAAAATAGGAAAAAAATGATCTGCCAACAGAACAAGAAAAATATGACATGACAAGATTTCTGAAAATAAGGAAATTTTACGAGCCCAAAATGTCTTAATTCTAGTTTAAAAACAGACATTTCAAGTTTATTTACAATTTCTTAAACATTTCTTCTAAACAAGAAAAGTTGTCTGGAGATAAGATTAAATTACTACCTTAAAAACTCACTGCTCAGAATTTTTTTTCTCAAAGATTTCTAAGTAATATTATCTTATACTGTAAAAAAAAAATTTTAGTCAACATAAAAAAGTAATGCAACGATCTGGAAAGCTATTTTGAGTTCACTCAACTTTCAAGATATAGCCCTTGAGATAAAGCCCTCAATGGTCTCGCCCTTTCATACCTGTCCGAACTTTTAACAGTTTGTGACTCGGGCAGATCATTGAGGTCATCAAATCAGCTTTTACTGGAAATGCCCAGGACTCGTTCCAAACATTGGGGTGATCGATCCTTTGGAACAAGCTGCCCCCTGACCTACGCACAATCACTGACTTTGGTCTTTTGAAATCCAGACTTAAAAAATATTTATTCAGGCTGGCTTTTATAACTCAGCAGGACGGCGACACTTTAGTTTCTCATGGTTTAATCTGTTTTTATTTGTTTTTATTGTTTGGTTGTGTTAATGTTTTTCACAGATTTTGTGTGATTTTATTGTAAAGCACTTTGGTCGCCTTGTGTGTTGTAAAGGGCTCTATAAATAAAATTTGATTGATTGATTGATTGATTGATTGATTGATATTGAGCTAAAATAAAGGAGGAAGTTGGGAAAATGTCCTGTTGTGTTAAATCCCACTTGGATCGGGTTATTCGTCCATCTCTGGGGAAATGTCATTGTCGTGTTTGTGCACATAACTGCTTGTTCTTTGATAAATATGAAAGTCCAAAACAGACATTCATGTTTTCAAACCAAGCCTGTCTTTAAACTCTCATTTTAACATGGACTCTATTCAGTATCACATCAAACCTTCAGACGAGCTTTTATCTAAGATTGTTGTTTTTTTTCTTTTCCTTTTGGAGTGAACCATGTTTTTACAGCCCTCCCTCGGGCATCTGCAGCTCCTGTCATGCTTGTCTTTTAACAGAATACGTCATAGAGATTTCATCACACTGCACAAGCTCCCTGTTTGTTTTAGCCTGGTCTTACCACACCATCATACTCATTTCATTCAGTACGAAGGTCTGGATTTGCTCCATTGGGAGGGGTTAACTCCTTTTGCAGATTGAAATGATTGGATCTCAGTTTACTGTGACATTATGTATAATGATTTAAGATTCAAGAATGTATGTGTCATTTGCAGTGAAGCCACATTGGAAAAACTGTGCAAGACTACCCCAGTGTGCCCGAGTGACTTAGCATTTAGCCTAGCTTTGGCCATCTCCTTCGCCTCTAACGGAGCCCATGGGGAGTAGCGCCACAACATCTTTGCAGCAATGACATTTGTTAAACAGGCTTCAATTTCATGACATTTGGAGCCGAACCAGAACAGATTACTTTACTATCGCATTCGCCGCCATTGCCAAACTACAACCAACAAATTCTGCGCAATCTCTGAGGTCACTGACACTTACCTACAACACCCGCCTCCCCGCTCACTGATTGGTCGGAGAGGATTCCACCGAGGAAACAGCAGCCACTAAGATCAGACCCCGACGTACATGTAGGTAATGATCATTGACCAGAGGCTAACAGGGAATTTACACAGTAGGCGTAAACAGCGCGTACGCGTTTACTGCGCGCTCTCTGCGTGTAACATTTTTTTGGAGTATCTACACTGGCCGTGCGCAGGTCCGCGTCTTCTGATGCTGTCCCTGTGTGTGTCTATGGAGCAGTGTAGAGGACAGTACGGGCCAGAGGACTGATGTAGAGCAACACAAATCACATGCATGTGTTTGTCCTCATGGTCTCTGTGCTGGTTTGGCCAGACGTGAGACTTTATGAAAGAAAAAAAACGATGTCCAGAATCACTGTAGAACCTGCTGCTCCTCCTGCTGATGTTTAGACACAAGTGCTGTGTGTGTGCAGATGCGATCTAGAGCCAAGGACCGCTAGAAAAATCATGTTTTACCCCGATTTCAAGGGGAGACGCGTTGGTGCGCGAAAAAAAATAGAAATCCATCCTAAATTAGAGCGCAGCTTCGCGTCATAATTCCGTCATACGTGCGTATAACGCTAGAAGTGTAAATATCATCATAGGTTAACATGGAAAAAAGTTACGCGCGTCTGCTGCGCATATAACGCGTACGTGCTGTAACGCGTGATGTGTAAATTAGCAGTAAGGCGTAAACTTAAATGATAATAATACATCATACTATTATAGTGTTTTTTTGGACAGTCAAAGACGCTTTACAGAAGAAAACTAAGAAACAAAAAACAAAAAGCTAAAAATAAATAGTTAAGTGTAGGCAGTTTTGAACAGGTGTGTTTTGAGAAGTGATTTTAAATTCTGTAGTTAGTCAGAGTTCCTAATGTGTGGTGGGAGTGAGTTCCAGAGAGGGGTGGGGTCTGTGGATCTGAGGCGGTAGGGAGGACAGTAATGATGGAGGAAGTCAGTGAGGTAAGAAAGGCCTGGTTATGGAAGGACATACAGGGAGCCAGTGGAGTCGTTTGAGGACCGGGGTGATGTGGTCTCTGGAGCGGGTATGGGTGAGCAGGTTGGCGGCAGAGTTCTGGATGTATTGCAGCTTTTGGAGATGAGTGGAAGGCCGTGGTGGAGGCTGTTGTAGTGAATAATGTTGGCACTTCATGGCCTGGTCCCTGCATACATTTCAGATCTCATTCTTCAGGTGTGTTTGTGTTTCTCTGAGAGCCACCAGCAGCTCGGCGTTTCCAAAACAAGGCTTTTCACGATTGTAGATTATTATAGAGATTATATTTAACGTTTTTTTTCTTAGTAATTCACGCATCTTTGAGTTGTCTAACTTCTTGTATCTTCTCTTCAACTTGTATGACAACTTTGCAGAAGCTTGTGCTGCATTTGTGAGGAATTAATGAGGTCATAGCATCAAACAACATATTCAAATTACTGTATTTTCTTTCCGTGGGCAAGATCCAAGGAAAATGTGCTCTCCATAACTCAGTATTGTTGAATTTTGAGGAAGACTGTGAATCTATAGAGCTGCTTCTGCAAGTAGGGGGCGATTAAAAATAGAAATTGAATTGCCACTTTTTATTGTACATAATATATCCTGCATTTTTACATGTTTGCACATTTCTTTCTTTTGCACAATCTTGAGTTTTTCTATCCATGCCAGAAGTGACTTGTAAATTTCTCCTTTGTGAGATCAATAATGTTTATCTTATCTTATCTTATCTTAAAAATAAACATGCTCAAAATAGAGATGGGTTAGCATTGGGGTTACAAATTAGGGCTTGAAATAGTTATGGCCCTACAAATCTACTGTATAGCCAGAATGGAATCAAAAAGCATACACAAGGAATGGCTAGGAATATTATAATATGTTTATATTTAAAAAAAAACCATCTATATTCCACCCAGAATATGCCCACAGAATACTCACTCAATACTCCACTAACTCAATACAGCCTCTTCTTCTTGCAGCTGCATCTGACCTGCATATCCATCTCGTCTTGGTATTTGCTTGTCAGGTAGAAAATGCTGTTCGGCTAAAGGCTAGAATTAATAATGTATGAGAAAAGGACTCTCTGGCAAAGGCACACAGTGATTTCCTCTTCATTGGAGGATGGACATGATTCTATACATGCAAAATGACTGGAAATTTTAGCATTCCTCCTACGCATGCTGACATATTTTTATATTTTTGTTCATGATATAACCAACAATAGCTGTGATCTTGGAAAATGTTATAATTAAAAGATATTATACAGGTTTTTGGACATTTAAATACCCAAGCATTACTCACCCACCACCAGAATAATTTAATTCATTTCAATCCAATGTATTCCTTTCTTGTGCTAAATAACAACAGTAGTAATTCTAGTGGACTTGAATTTGCAGAGAATCAAGCGCAAAAAATGTCATGATAGATATGCAGAGCCATTGGTCCATAAGGGGCTGAGACCAATGTCCATAAATGTTGAATATCTAGTGTCCTGGATCATCACTACTGCCCTTAAACCCTCATGCATCGGAAAGGAAAAACTGTGGGAATTAGCGAGAAACCTCAGGAGGCCCATGGACTGACTGGTTATAGATCCCAGGACCCTTTCATCACCGAGTGTGAATGGAAAAATTATGGAAATCTGATTACTGGACATTGTAAAGCACTTTGGGTGACCTTGGTCTGTAAAATGCACAATAAAAATAAACATGACTTACTTCCTTACTTGGACTCAGACTGCAGAACGAGGGCCAAGGCCACGCGGTGCAGGGCTGAGCTTGGGACGCACAGATTTACACACCAGGTAATGCGCGCCGTCATTAACCGGCGCGGAATTGCCGAGAATCCCGACTCAATTTTTTTAGGTCCAGATAGCTT